TATGCACGGAATAATTATACATATTTATATTTATTTTAGTTTTTTTTTAATATAAAAATTTTGTTTTTTAAGATTTTTTATAAAAATAATTTAACAATCTTATCACTAGACATAGTGTATGAGAGAAGTTGAAAAGGGTACTGCAGTAAATATACACGGATTGTATCTATAATTATTTGTATAAAGAGATTTTAAATGCTGATCATGAAATTTTGACCAAATTAATAAATGCAGGCATATGGAAACACATGTGGATTAAAAAAAATTAATAAATGTTGATCAGAGAATTTTGACTAAATCAATAAATGCTGAGTTTTTTTTAAATAAAAAATAAAAAATATAGAAAATTCAGATTGAGATATTGAAACTCCCATAGGCCTTGGGGTTAAAAACCCCCTTTTGCTTAATATATAGTAAGTATAGATAGCCTATCACCCGTGCTATGCACGGGATAATTATAGATATTTATATTTGTTTTAATTTTTTTTAATATATAAATTATGTTTTTTAAGATTTTTTATAAAAATAATTTAAAAATCTTATCACTAACCATGGTGTACAAGAGAAATTAAAAAGGCTACTATAGTAACTATGCATGAGTTGTATCTATAATTATTTGTATGAGGAGATTTTAAATGCTAATCAAGGATTTTAACCAAATTAATAAATGTAGGCATATGAATTGAAAAAAGTTAATAATGATGATCATGAGATTTTGACCAAATCAATAAATGCTAAGATTTTTTTTTTAAATAAAAAATTTAGAAAATTAAGATTGAGAGATTGGAGCTCCCACAAGACTTGAAATTTAAAAATCTCATTTTCCTTAATATATTTACAATTAACTATATATGTGAATTGCGATTTTTAAATGTCTTTTTTTTTTTAAAATGTCTTCTTTTTTCCTTTTTTATATTATATTAAAGTTTAATATTTTGATAATAATCATATCTGTTGAACTTTTCAAGGAATTAAATGTCTTCTTTTTTTTATTATATTATATTAAAATTTAATATTTTGATAATAATCATATGTATTGGATTTTTCTAGAAATTTTTTTTATGCTTGTTCTTAATGCATTAATATTTTGATAATAATCATATGTGTTAGATTTCAAATAAAAATTTTATGCTTGTTTTTAATGCATTAAAGTGTTATGATGAGGGTAAGACTTGGAGGTTGAAAGAAGTTAATAAATGCTAAATTTTTTTTTTAAGTCATATCAATTAACATCTATCAATATCTCATCTCTACATTTATAATCATCTTCTTTACTTTCCTACACATTTCTTTTAATAAAAAATCAAAATATACATTTATTTAAAACATTCCCAATCACCTCTTAATATATTTTTTCAAATCTCAGTAGAAGTTAATGCAGTTTACCAAAAAAGGAAAAAAAATTCCCCTATTAAAATATTTCAACTCCTAAAGGCTAAACGGTACAACAAGGCTTTGACTTAACAAAATACTAGGCTATCATGGTGATATGTACGGGATAATTATACATATTTATATTTATTTTAAATTTTTTTAATATAGAAATTTTTTTTTTAAAGATTTTTTATAAAAATAATTTAATAATCTTATCACTAGCCATAGTGTATGAGAGAAGTTGAAAAGGGTACTGCAATAAATATACACGGATTGTGTCTATAATTATTTGTATAAAGAGATTTTAAATGCTGATCATGAAATTTTGACCAAATCAATAAATGCAGGCATGTGAAAACATATGTGGATTAAAAAAAGTTAATAAATGTTGATCAGAGAATTTTGACTCAATTAATAAATACTGAATTTTTTTTAAATAAAAAATAAAAAATATAGAAAATTCAGATTGAGATATTGAAGCTCTCACAGGTCTTGGGGTTAAAAACTCTCTTTTGCTTAATATGTAGTAAGTATAGATAGCCTATCACCCGTGCCATGCACGAGATAATTATAGATATTTATATTTGTTTTAATTTTTTTAATATATAAATTATGTTTTTTAAGATTTTTTGTAAAAATAATTTAAAAATTTTATCACTAACCATAGTGTACAAGAGAAATTAAAAAGGCTACTGTAGTAACTATGCATGAGTTGTATCTATAATTATTTGTATGAGGGGATTTTAATTGCTAATCAAGGATTTTGACCAAATCAATAAATGTAAGCATGTGAATTGGAAAAAGTTAATAAATGATGATCATGAGATTTTGACCAAATCAATAAATGTTGAGATTTTTTTTTTAAATCAAAAATTTAGAAAATTAAGATTGAGAGATTGGAGCTCCCACAAGGCTTGGGATTTAAAAACCTCTTTTTCCTTAATATATTTACAATTAACTATATATGTGAATTGTGATTTTTAAATGTCTTTTTTTTTTAAATGTCTTCTTTTTTTTCCTTTTTTATATTATATTAAAGTTTAACATTTTGATGGATTTTTATTGATAAGTCCAATTTAGAAGTGTTTTAACCCAAAAAGTCCATGAAGGAACTTTTTAACCCATTTAGTCCCATGTATGTATAGTTTTATTCCATAAAGTTCATTTTCTTGATTTACACTATTTTCTTGGACACTTATGCCCTTATATTTAATTTTGATACCCTTATAAATATTTTTTGAACGATTAGCAATTTAATGATGTGAACATTCATATTTTAAAATTCACATTGGTAGGAATGTAAAATTGACCCGTAGGCGGCCAAAAATCCGCCCGGGAGCCGGGGCGGGCCCGGCCCGTTGACAATGTGAATATTCACATTGACACTTCTTATCTCAAATTGGACCTAATGGAATAGTCAAAAAGAATATGGGTTGGATGGAATAAAACTCTTAGAAAATGGATTTATCAAAAATGCTCCCAATCATATGTGTTGAACTTTTCAAGGAATTAAATGTCTTCTTTTTTTTATTATATTATATTAAAATTTATTATTTTGATAATAATCATATGTGTTGGATTTCAAAGAATTTTTTTATGTTTGTTTTTAATGCATTAAAGTGTTATTATGAGAGTAAGACTTGGGGGTTGGGAGAAGTTAATAAATGCTAAAGTTTTTTTTTAAATAAAAAAATCAGGAAATTTAGATTGGGAGATTGGAACTCCCACAAGGCTTGGGATTAAAAACCTCATTTTGCTTAATATATAATATATATAAGTTTGATAAATTAAAATAAAATTTTATAATTTTAATATAATTATATTAATTATTTTTAATAAAATTAAAGAGATCAAAATCAATATAGATGATAGTAAGATATAATAATATGGTGTTTTAGAAAAATGATAAAAAGTCGACTTTTTGATTTTTTAAATTTTTTTAAAATTTTTTGTGTGTAAAAAAGTAGAGATGCAATTTTATCTAAAAAAATAAAAAAATTGAAAAAAGTTAAAAAGCTAATCTTCCCAAATCGCCCCACTACACAATATAGAATATATATTTCAATGTTATAGAAATGATAATATTATTTTTTTATTCATATTACTAACAAATTTTTAATAAAAAAAAAAGCCAAGTGTTATATGATTTAAAATTTTAAAAAAGTCTAATGTAATTTTATGTTAAATTTATGGGAAACACTATGGTGCACATCTTTCAAAGAACGTGCACCATATGCTCTTTATAACTAGGGTTTCATTTTGCAATTTATTATTTTAGTTTAAAAGTCAACAATTTATACCTGAAAAGTCAAAAATTCATTTTTCTCTCTATTTTATTGACAATTTTTTCATTAAAAATCAAAAAATCATTACAAACATACTAATTTTTTAACCTCATATTTACTAAAAAAATTTGTTTCCAAACGAGGCCTAAGGCTTCATTTGGAAAGTTGGATTGGTTTTTTGACTTTTTAATTATTTTAGCTCCTAGTAAAAAGTTCGTTTGGATTGATTTTTTTGACTTTTTTTAAAGAAAAAGTGAAATGATTGTTTATAACCATTCCGTTTTCAGTTTATAATTACAAAAATTTTAAAAACTGTCATAAAAACTTGTTTGATAATTTTTTTGGTTTATAAATGGTTGTCTCAGTTTATAAATCTGAGGAAAAAACGTAAACTCAAAAAATGAGTTTACGTTTTCAGTTTTCAATTTTTTTTTCAAAGAATTATTTTTTTTTCAATTTTTTTTTCAAATATATTTTTTTAATTAATTGTTTTTTCAATTATTTTTTTAATTATAATGTGTGTGATCCCATTGTCATAAATAATAAAAATAAATATAGATATTTTAGGCCTGAACAAACATATTTTTTAGTTTATGTTTTTAAAATTTTTTAAACATTTTGTTCAAACCAAATGCGTTTGTAATTTATGTTTTTTTAAAAATAAACAAAAATCAGTTTATAAAATTTTTGTAAACATAAACAAAAAATGTAAACGTTACCAAACGCTACCTTAATTTGGATGTGACATTTTGTTTTATTAAATTTTTAGCCAATTTCATCATTTGTGACTAATTTAATCAAAAAAATTAGAAAAAAAAATCACATCCCAAACGAAACTTAAAAATAAAATAAAATAATTTTTATTTTTTGAGTTATAACTAAGAAAAAATTTGTCATAATTAAACATACATGATGTATTATTTAAGAATTCATGTGTCATAATTGAATTTTTTTTGTCATAATTAAAAAAATAATATAGTTAAAGAGCTATGATAGAGATCCCCTCCAATCACCACCCCCACAATCTCCCACAGACACGTGGCGGGTGGTGATTGGAGGAGTAGGAAAAAAAGAAAAAAGAAAAAGAAAATATAACCAATGAGAGAGAAAGGGTCAAAAGGGTGGAGAAAAAGGGGGCATGAAACATTTTTGATGGTTAAAAGTGCATAAAACACACCCTCTTCAAGGGGGTATATATTAAAATTCCTAAATTTATAAGATTTATTGTATTTTATTTTATTTTCAAACTTTAAAGGGTTAGTTTAATTTAATTTATATTTTATTTTTTGAATTTATTAAATAAAATTAAAAAAACTTACTCAAAAAGTAATTAACAACCAAGGAAGGAAGCAACAAATCTAATACCCCTATTCTTGCTCTTTCTCTCTCTACATCCACCTCTTCTCCAATTCATGGAGAGAGAAAACAATCATCAAGCAACAACAAATGCTCTGATTCATTCTTGTTGAATTCAGGTAGATATATATAGATAGTTGTATGTATAATATGTATAGAACCCTAATTCGGTGAATCCCCAATATCCAATGCATTGGTGTTCAATTGAATCGGAGTCTTCGATTGGTTGTGATTGCGGTGTTGTTGGATCTGATGGTGAGAGTTTTGGGGGTGGTGGTTCTAGAAGAGAATCGTCGGTGTGGTTGCGGTGGTGATTCTAGTTTTTTGGTGAGGGGTTGCAGAGGCGGCGACGACGACGATGCAGCTTCACTTCTCACCGGGCATGAGAAGCATTACCATATCGACCAACAACAATGGCTTTATTGACTTGATGAAGATCAAGGTCGCAGCTCGCCATATCTCTTACCGTACTCTCTTCCACACCATCCTCATCCTCGCTTTTCTCTTGCCCTTTGTCTTCATTCTCACTGCTGTTGTTACCCTCGAAGGTGTCAACAAGTGCTCCTCATTCGGTACACACAATAATCTCTCTCTGTCTCTCTCTCTAGATCTCCATTTTCAATTGTATTGTTGTTCGTCTTGAAATGTGGCAATCTCTGTTTTTTTTTTGTTGTGCTGTTTATTAATTTGATTTGATTGAAATTAAAATGGGATTCATGGAATTTTCATGCTTCGCTAATTAATTTTGGGTTTTTAGTTGTTTTCACTGTGGGAGATCTGAGTTTGGTTCTTTTGACAATTTGAATCTATGGTATGGGCAATGGTGGATCATTAATTTTGTTCCATTTCTTTCTTCTTTTTTGGTTTGGTGTCCGAAGTTGGTTCATTTATCAGGTTTTTTTAGTTATTTACATTGTGAGAGATTTGACATTGGTTAATTTGATTGGACTTTTATCTTTATTCCTTTTGGTTTGATCAATAGTTAGATCAAAACAGAATTAATGATACATATAGTTAAATCAGCAATGTATGAATTTTATGATAATTTTCCTTGTGAAATTCTCTGTTTTCTGTTTGTAGCTCTTTTTTATTATTTTTTTTTATAAAAAAAGGTGTATGTTCAGAAGGTACTGATTAATTTAATCCACTTTGTGAATTGGGTTTATATTTTGGTGAGAGAAATGGATTACCGTTTGAGGCATTTTGTTTTTTGATAGGAAAAAGTTACTTATTGTTGGAAAAGTGGTAGGTCTACTGAAATATTTTATGTTATACTTGCGGTTAGAATCTGATTGGCTGAAAGGGAGCTTGCTCAGATGCAGTCCTGTCGAGGGTTTGGCCAAAGCCAAATATTGTAGAATTGATTATGATTTTGTTTCAATCCCGTATTTATTTGGTAGTTACTCTAATTTGGGGTTTTCCTTGGCATCTTTTGTAGATTGAATCTCTTTCTCAAAACTGAAACGGCTTTCGATCCTTCTTATCTCCGAGTTCATGTTATGTATTAACTTCTCCATTTTGGCTTGGTGGACCTTTGGTATGGGTATTTTGTACCCGCTGATTCTCTCAACTCGCCTCAACCTTTTTCCCTTCTTCTTCTTCTTCTTCTTTTTTTGGACTTATTTTTTCTTAATAAGTTTGTATCCAGGCATTTTCTCATGTTATACAGCCTTTTGACATGACGGATTCTGAATTCTTGTGTGAAAACCTTGCAGTTACTTTTTGTAGTCTGCTTTTATTCTCTATATTTTGTTTGAAATGGTTGGATAAGAGAGTATATATATATATATATATATATTTTTAATGTTGTTCAGTTGATGCATTTGGGCGTGGTTCTATTTTTGCTTTGCTTTGCTTTCTTTGCATGGTTGGTTTTGTAACTTTCTTGTTGCATATATGTTTGGTTTACAAAAGCAAATCATTGGCCTCATATTTTTGTTTCTTTTGTGCTTCAGATTGTTTAGGCAGGCGGTGGGGACCAAGACTTCTCGGTAGGGTTGATGATTCAGGGGTAAATAATATTTTTATTCGTCCATTCATATTGTTATTTTCAGATCACACAATATCAACTTGATATAGTTCTCTCTCTCTCTCTCTCTCTCTCTCTCTGATTTTTTCATATTTTTTATTTGCAAACAAATGCTCTCTGTTGAGGTGTTTTTGAAATGTTTTGTTATCTTGATGGTGTTGCAGCAGAGGTTGGTTAGAGATTTTTACAAAATCCTCAATCAAGTGAGTACTGAAGAAATCCCAGAAGACCTGAAGCTGCCGAAGTCATTTAATCAACTCATTTCTGAAATGAAAAACAAGAAGTACAATGCGAAGGACTTTGCTTTGATGTTAAAGGGAATGGTATGTGATGTGCCACAGAGATATGGTTTTCTTTCTTTCCTTTTCAGTTCTTTTTTTTTTTTTGTATTAGTTATCCCTGCTCTTAGTTTTATCCTGCATTTGGTTGCACTAGGTGGGATTCAATTAGATATCCCAACAACGAATTTAATTCCTACATATGTGGGATAACTCAATCCAAGGGGAGCTTGGGATTGATAATCACGGGATAAGAGGAGGGTTCAGCTAAGGAGTTAAGTGAAAAAACTACCCCCAGAGGAGAGGTCTCTTTCTTTATTTCTTCTGTCCTTGCCTCCACCACCATCAGACGAGCACCTCCCTTCCTCTTCTTCTATCTTTCTTCGTCACTTTTCCTCTCCTTTTCACCTCTAGCAGGTGCCACCACCACCTCCTCTTTTGCTTCTCTTCCCCTTCCTCCCCCTCCACCAGCTACTGCCACCTCTTATGTTGTTTTTCCTATCCTTCCTCTGCCACCTCTCTCTCTTTTCTCTCTCTTTTCTTCACTTCTTTTCTTTCCTTCCTCCCCCTCTTCTCTAGTTGATCACATACACACACACACACACATATATATATAACATTGTTGTCAAATCGAGAATTGTATCTTGAATCAAAATTTTGATTTTGAGAATCATGAATTGGATCAAGTTGAGAATCATAGATTCTGCACAAACCATAAAAAATAATTTTGGACAATCATATATATGAAAAAAATAAAATAAAATAAATTGATTTTGGATGTTATATAAGGACATGACTACACTATCTAATTGGGACGACATTTCATTAACCATATAATTATTGAAAATCATTATATTATGCTTTCTAGACATTCAAAAAATGGACTTAGAAACCCTAAATAGAGTAGAATTAGAAGAAAAAGTAAGTGGGATGCGGGAGCACTTCATTTTAAAAATTAAAAAACCTTTAAAAAATGTGGTTGGATTCCTTTTATTTATTTATTTATTTATTATTCTTGTGGTTGAGAAGGTATTTAGTGCTATTGAAGTGAAATTTTCTTACTCTTTTTGAAGTTTGAATTGTGTGGTGATATTCTTTTTGCCTTTTTTTGGGACAAGTTGGACATTTTTTGGGGTTTGTTTCTATTAATTCTTTCCATTTTGGGCAGTGTGTTTTTTAGGAATCCGTTATATCATGCTGCTGTAGTTTTGCAGCATGTAACTGAAGCAATTATCTTTGACAGGCAATGATTATATAATGACCATGGGAACCATGTTTTCCAATTTCCAAGTTTAACTCAGTTCACTCAGCTTAAATATTTTTTCCCCTCCATCTTTTGTTTATTGTTTGTGTATTTTATTTTATTTTCTGTTTATTTATTTATTTTTGCAACTGGAACATGCAAGTCTATATTGTGGCAAAATAAAAGTCCATATTTTCCATAAACTGTTATAAAGCAATATTTTGGTTGATAAAGATTTTTGCTTTTGCACAGATGGAGAGATCTGAGAGAGAGATCAGGGAGTCAAAATTCTCAGAACTAATGAACAAGCACTTCGCTGCAAGCGCCATTCCTAAAGGCATCTACTGTCTTTCTCTGCGTTTGACTGATGAGTATTCAACTAATGCTCACGCACGCAGACAGTTACCTGCACCTGAACTACTCCCTTTACTCTCTGACAACTTATACTACCACTTTGTCTTGTCAACTGATAACATACTAGCAGCTTCAGTTGTGGTCACGTCTGCCGTCCAGTCATCTGTAAAGCCAGAAAAGATAGTTTTCCATGTCATCACTGACAAAAAAACATATGCGGGCATGCACTCATGGTTTGCTCTGAATCCCTCTCCAGCTATTGTTGAAGTAAAAGGAGTTCATCAGTTTGACTGGTTAACAAGAGAGAACATTCCAGTTCTTGAAGCTGTAGAAAATCATTTTGGGATCAGGAACTACTACCATGGGAATCATATGGCTGGGGCCAACCTCAGTGAGATTACTCCGCGGACATTTGCTTCAAAATTGCAGGCTAGAAGCCCAAAGTACATTTCATTGCTCAACCATCTTCGCATTTATTTACCAGAGGTAACCAATCGTTGTTTTTACATTCCCCTTCTCTGATGTATAGGAAATCACTAATCTGTTTCAATTTTGAACAAAAAGGGGGGAAAAAAATAGAAAAAAGAAAACTTGCTGATGTTCGATTAAAAGGAAGTGCATATTTGTAGGTTTATTTTGTCCAAAATAAGAGTAAATTGCTGTTGAATAAATCTCTCTCCCTCTCCCTCCATTCCTCCATCCAAGGCTTTCTTTTTTATTCATATTATACATTTGTAAGACCTCTCCGTGGGCAACTATTTTTCTGAAGGCTAATATAATTGAACCACACCATTTCCAACCCTCAACCCCCACCCTCCCCCCCAAAAAAAAAACTGAAAAAAAAAACTGTGAATACCTAAACCATGCTTCTTATGATGAACATGTTTCTACTCATGGTCAAGTATTTTAGTTGAAGAATGTTGAGGACCTTATCCACAACATTGGTCCAATGGTATGATGGGCTACAGTATCTGGGTTAGCCCTCTCCCATCCATAAACCCCCATGGTCCACACTGTGTGAAGGTGAGATTCGGGATCTCAAGAGACTTTACACTTAAGTAGACAATTGCTTCTGTTTCAGGACTGCTTTGAAAGGAACGCCTTTTCCTATAACTCTATCAAATGATCATTGTGCTGAAAATTCCAACGTTATTAAAAGAACGCATATTTGTTTTGTTTCTTTTTTGGTTGGTTAGTTCTGATTCTGAATTACTTGGAGTAGATATCACATTCTCTTACAACTTTTATGTGTGGGGGTTGTGGTATTTTTATTAACATGTTCCTGATCTAGATTGTATTGCGGATGCACCTAAAAATTAACTTGCTGTGTCTTTGAGACTCTCTCTCTCTGTGTAAGAGAAGGTGCTGATAGTGTTGTCTTCTTGTGTTACACAGCTATTTCCAAACCTTGATAAGGTGGTGTTTTTAGATGATGATATTGTAGTTCAGCGTGACCTCTCTCCACTCTGGGAAATTGACCTTGGTGGAAAGGTTAATGGAGCTGTAGAAACCTGCAAAGGTGAAGACGAGTGGGTGATGTCTAAGCGATTCAGGAACTACTTCAATTTTTCTCATCCTCTCATAGCAAAGAATTTGAACCCTGACGAATGTGCATGGGCTTATGGGATGAACATCTTTGATTTACGTGCATGGAGAAAGACAAATATAAGAGACACTTATCATACCTGGGTGAAGGAGGTAAATATCAAGACTGTTTCTGTTAGACTTTTGTGAATACATTTGTCTTCTATTGCCCTTTGTGGGTTTAAGTTCTAGGACACAAAAGTTTATCTCAGGAAGTAGAATGGTATCTTTTTGATCTGCAGCAGTGGTCACACTGATGTTTGTTTGAATTCAAATCTCATTATTGCCATTCCTGTATCTATTTGACATATGGCTTCTAGTGGTTCAAGTATTCTACATGCTTTATGTTCTATTTAGGGTATGGGGGGACAGCAAAAAGAGGGAGTCTTATTACAAAACCATATCTTATAATTTTTATGGCTCACAGTGTAGTATATTATGTGGCCTGCAATTCATGTCACTGGACAAATAAGCACATCCCCCTCCAATTTTTTTGTGAAATCACATTGGATTTTGTTTTTAAACCGTGTTAAAATTGTATTTTGTGTGCTTCCTCTCTATGCAATCAATGAAATTTTATTATGTCAATGAGTAGCTAGATTGTTTTCAGGACTAATTACATAGTTATCTCATGTTCTTAGCAACTTTATTGAAAAAATAAAAAAAATAACTACTTGGAATGGTAAATAAGAAATGCATAATCTCCATTTTTTGATGAGACTCTCGATCTTGCAGAATCTGAAGTCGAACTTGACAATGTGGAAGCTGGGAACCTTACCGCCAGCATTGATTGCATTTAAAGGTCATGTTAAAGCAATTGACCCATCTTGGCACATGCTTGGTTTGGGCTACCAGAACAAAACCGACATTGAGAGTGTGGAAAAGGCTGCTGTTATCCACTACAACGGCCAGTCAAAACCATGGCTTCAGATAGGCTTTGAGCATCTCCGGCCATTTTGGACCAAGTATGTTAACTACTCCAATGATTTTGTTAGGAATTGCCACATCTTGGAGTAGTATTTCACCAAGTAAAGGAGCTTAAACAGGAAAGTTTGGGACAGAAGATGAATGCAATATGGGGTTTGCACAAGTTTGTTTTGCAGCCTCTAAGTTTTGTTTATATCCATCTGAGAAGAGAGCGAAAGAGAAAATTGGCCAAAATGGCTGTACATTCATGGTCCAGATTCCCTGCTGCCCTCCCCACGTGAGGAACTATATCACTATCACGGGCATGCAATTCATTCTTTCAGTCTGTAAAATAGCAATCCATCGTGTATTTTTTTATTCGGAAAAAGGACACATTTTTTGGGCCTTCCTGAGAGGAGTCTTTGGAGTCTGCATATTGTTTTAGCAGCTAATGGGGAATACAAGTGAGGAAACATGCCTATGCAAACTGGTACACAGGAGGAGAGAGAAAGCGCTCAGCTCTTTTGATGATCCCCCGCTAGCCCCATTAGTCTCAGAAATGTATTTCTTTTACGTTTTTTCATTTTTGTTTTCAGTTCATACTGCTTGGTCCATTTTTTTTGGATTTCATATAATGACTTCAGTTTTAGGTAGTAGGTCTCAGAGATTTATCTGTTACAGGTCCCATTGAGTTGGGGAACCATTTTTAGGTTATATATCATTACTATTTGTTATGTAGGATTCATGAGAAACACTTAAATTGTCAAGGAAATTCTTTTTACCATTTCTCTTCGCAGTTTACCATTATCTGGCGTAATCTTTGTTGTGTGATGACAGTTTTAGATTCCACAAATTTGTGGTTTGAAGATGGCAAGTTTCTTGTCAAGAAAGCTCTTCTTGTTGGCTTATTTGTAAGATACAAATCATCAGCGGCCAAAGTTTTACCAAAGTTTATGAAATCATCAAGTGAATTGATTGCTGTTGTGATGGCTCCAACTGTTGGGCATTCAATGGTAGAACATTAAGCAGGAGGTCACAGGTTCGACCTTTGTTCTCACCACTCACCACTCCCATGAGTTTAGATACATGTGATTGTATCTTGATGTACTAAAAAAACGTTAAGGCAACGTGTTTAACTTGTTGACGAGCATTCACAGCAGTCTCTTCAAATTTTTAGTTAAATTAGAGCTTAAAAACTTATGTTGCTATTTTAGCTAGTCACTTTTTTAATACCTGCTGCATCAAACTCTCTATTCTAATTTAATCTTATTAAAATATTATTTTCTTATTGTGTTTGGTATTCTTTATTTTTTTATTAAATTGATGAGTTACTAGCCGAACAATTCTTAAAAAATGCAAAAAAATAAAAATATAAAAAAAATTGCCATTGACTCGTTGACCGGCCGGGCATCCGGTAACACTAAGCTAGCGATAAACAGTACATCGCTTGTTGTAGCGAGATATCACAAATTTTGACGAGCTGCAAGCGAGATTGATGGACTTATTTTTTGAAGTTTATATCGCCAGTTTAGCTAAAAAACGATTTTACTGGGTTTGATGAGGATGCTCTAAGTGTAGCTTATTGAGGTACTTACAATTTTTGAAAAATAAAATAAAATTTGAGAATCTAAATAAGTTGGAAAACTTGATTATCTAAAAACTCAGGAAATATTACTTTTGGTTTTTACTTTTTTACTACTAACTTTCAGTTTGGGAGAAGTTATACCAAGCATGCCTTCTGTTGTTAACCTTGGAAGTTCAAATATGTCCTTTGTGGAAATAAAAATATTTCCCAAAGAAGGTATGAAATGGTTACTCTTTTTTATTTTATTTATTTTTAATAGAAAAGAATCTTGTTTGTGAAATTTGCTTAGTTGATGATGACAAGAAACCTGTTTAGATGTATGTATTAGTGAAGTAATGTCTTAGCATCCTAAAAGATTTGGTTAGTGATAGATATATCAAGGTTTTGTGGTTGCTTATGCTTAATACATCCCAATTTTACCTATTTATCCTTCTCACTTGATTGAACCCCTTTGGAATTTTGTTTGCTTTCCTTGATGGAGAAGATTAATCTTTCCTCAATAATTTAATCCATTGATAAGCATTGGATTGGTCTCATTTTAGTGGCATTTTATGAGCTGTTTTGTGCTGATTCCTTTGAACCTTTAATGGAAGAATATGAAATGTTTATTATTGGACATCTCAACTACCTCTACCCAATCTTATTAGAATCAGTCATGCTATAGACAAAATATTGAAATACAATATTTGTGTTGTAAATTCATTCAAAATATGAGTCTCACTTTATAAAAGTTGAACATGAATCAAATATTATTATTTTTTTTTTGAAAAATTATAAAAAAATCTCAAAGTTTGACTCTTATAACAAAATAAACCTTAAAATTTTTAATTTTGTCAATTTAAATCATAATCTTTTGATTTTTTTTAAAATTTAAATTTTTATCTATTTTTGTTAAGTTAAATTGCTAAAAAATATATATATATATATATTTGTCATTAAGCTCAGTGTAAAAGGGTATTTATATGCACTTAAATTGAGTTTAATAGCTAAAAAGTTATTTTTTATTAGTTGTACTTAACGGAAATAGGATAATGGTTTAAATTGAAAATAAATAAAAAGATTAAGATTTAAATTAATAAATTAATAAATTTAGAATTTATTTTGTTACAAAAGTCAAATTCTAATTTTGTTTATTTATTTATTTATTTTTGTAATTTTCCTCTTTTTTTTTGTTTTTAATTTTTAAATCTTTCCGTGTCTAAATTTTTGATTTGTAGTATTAGTATATTAGAATTGCAAGTAAATACACATTGACCAACTATAGGCATTTGTGTATAATAATTTGGGTAAGGTAAAAAAAAAAAATTGGGCAAGTGTATGTGTGTGTAATAATAAACAAATGAATTGTATCAGATTTATGTTTACTGACTCCTAACCTAACTTTATATATGTGGTCATGTCTGAATAAAAAAAATATATATGTGGTCATGTGGAATTATTCAGAACAGGAGTACAAACCCTCCTATCATTTATCCATTTTAAAAAAATAATAATCAATTGAAATTTTGGCATCCACTTCAATAATTAGATGGTCCCTCTTATTATTATTATTATTATATATAGTTGATGTAATTTAAATTTTATAGTATGTTTTGTAATAATTTTCATATTATCATCGAATCTAAAACACAATATTTACTAAAATTAGTGATGATGATATTGGGTTGTAGGAGAGGAATTGGGGTCACTGTTGTACTTCAATTATGGATTTATTTTTATAATCTGAACCGTTATGTTATAGGGTTCATGTCTATTAAAAATTATATTAATCGAATATCAATAACTATATGATTGATAACCAAAAAAATAAACAAGAAGTTTTTCTTTTGAAAAATAGTACAAAAATATGTAATTCGATCATATCGTTATTGATATCCGATTAATATGATTTTTGGCAGGCATAAAGTACTCAACAAATCTTACAAAATAAACGGTTCAGATTATAAAAATAAGCTTATAATACACTTCAAAATGAGACACAATAGTGACCCCTATACTTGTAGGGAGATGTTAAAAAGGAGAAAGAGAGAGAGAGAAAAAAAAAAAATCTATCCATAACCAAGTGCATGCGAGAGATGAGTTGGTAGTTCCAACAAATATTGGTGTGAATTTAATAATTTCTTTTGGGGGCAAATGCAAGAATAAAGTTATATGTATTAATTAGTCACAATAGTGACCCCTATTCTTGTAGGGAGATGTTAAAAAGGAGAAGAGAGAGAGAGAAAAAAAAAAAAAAAAATCTATCCATAACCAAGTGCATGCGAGAGATGAGTTGGTAGTTCCAACAAATATTGGTGTGAATTTAATAATTTCTTTTGGGGGCAAATGCAAGAATAAAGTTATATGTATTAATTAGTACGGCGCTGTTACATGTATCAATTAGTATACATATTAATATATCAATTAATATTATATTATTATTATTTACCTCATTTATTATATAAATTATAAATATTCAAAACTTTTAAAATTATGTCACATCATTTATTAGTATATTAATTAATACATTAATTGATATATATAATATTATTTTAATTAGTATATCAATTAATTTATTAATAAATATGTGACGTAATTTTAGAAATTTTAAAACAACCTATAATAGTAAAGGTTTAGATTCCCCCTACAGGCTCTACGTGGTGTGGCTGTTTAGAAAGTGAGTTTTTTTTGTAAGTTTTTTTAGTTGTAGGATATTATTGGAAATTTTTTTTTTTGTGTTTAAGAAGATAGTTAGATTTTTTTGTGGTTAGATGTGATATTTGTGAGATAAAAAATGAAATAATTATGAGGTTTGATGTGATATTTTGTTTGGATTGATTTTTTTTTTTAGTTTTGTAATCAATTTGTCTTTTAATTAAGAAAAAAAAAAAACCAAAACACAAACTTTCCAAACAGGGCCAAACGGGGTAATTAATGTAAGGAAATTATTCATAAGTGGTAATTTGAAAAACTTATTTTATATATATATATATATATATATATATGAAAAATTTATAATTTTATTTATTAATATTCATAAAATTTATTATTAATTTATAATTATTTTTGAAGTTTTACCCAGATTTAAAATTCTCTCATTAATTTATCAAATTCAAGTTCGATAAATGAATGGTTAAAAGTGACATCTAATTATTTTATCAAACTTTTATCAAATTAAGGGAAAGATAATGTTTGAATTGTTTTGAGAATTGATTATTTTAGTAACAATTATAGGTGGTCTGAATTTTCATGACTTGAATGGTTCGAATGTCTCAAAATGACGTCGTTTTGCGTATAAAACGATTTCATTTTGACATATTCGAACCACACAAATTCGGGTTACCAAATATTTTTCTTATTTTAGTTTTTCGCAAAAAAAATGTATAAAAAAGAAAAAGTAAAATAATTATGAGATTTGATATGATATTTTGTTTAGATTTTTTTTTTTTTTAGTTTTGTAATCAATTTGTCTTTTAATTAAGAAAAAAAAAAAACCAAAACTCAAACTTTCCAAACAGCGCCAAACGGGGTAATTAATGTAAGGAAATTATTCATAAGTGGTAATTTGAAAAACTTATTTTATATATATATATATATATATATATATGAAAAATTTATAATTTTAATTATTAATATTCATAAAATTTATTATTAATTTATAATTATTTTTGAAGTTTTACCCAGATTTAAAATTCTCTCATTAATTTATCAAATTCAAGTTCGATAAATGAATGGTTAAAAGTGACATCTAATTATTTTATCAAACTTTTATCAAATTAAGGGAAAGATAATGTTTGAATTGTTTTGAGAATTGATTATTTTAGTAACAATTATAGGTGGTCTGAATTTTCATGACTTGAATGGTTCGAATGTCTCAAAATGACGTCGTTTTGCGTGTAAAACGATTTCGTTTTGACATATTCGAACCACACAAATTCGGGTTACCAAATATTTTTCTTATTTTAGTTTTTCGCAAAAAAAATGTATAAAAATAAAAAAAAATAGTTTACTTTTTATAATGATTTTTTGACTATTTTAATTTGTTGCTGAAACAAGAAATCAAAGATGAATAAAAATCTTTCATTAAATTTTTAGCAATTAAATTTATTTAGCTTATATCACCTCTTTATTTTTTACATAACTTTTTTATAAAAAAAAATAAAAAATAATATTAAATAAACAAATCCCAAATAACTTGAAAAAGTTGAAATATTATTCAGTTTGATTTCAGTTTTCTGAATTTAGTTTTTTAGAAATTAAGTTTATTATTTTTCGTATTTTTTTTTGTTTTTAGTGAATATTTTTAAAATTTTAAACAAATTTTTTTTTTTTAATTTTTTGTATGCACCTTACTTAGATGTATCTAAATAGTAAAATATTTGTCAAAATATTTTAAAAAAATTAATAAATACAAAAAAATATGAAAAATGTATTGAATTTTGGACAAATTACATATATTTTCCTCGAGATTTAGCTAAATTACAGATACCCCTGAGGTTTCAGAAATTATAGATACCCCTGAGGTTTATATTTTCATAACAAATTGCCCCCTGAGATTTATATTTTCATAACAATTTACCTCCTAATTTGTTATGTAAATATAACCTTCAGGGGGTATCTGTAATTTTTCAAACCTCAGGGGGTATCTGTAATTTTGCTAAATTTTGAGGGGTATATGTAATTTGCCCTTGAATTTTCTATTTTTTTTATTTTTTGATAGTTAGTGACATTTTTTTTAAAAAAATTTACAAATACTATACTTTTTAAGTGTATTTATGTTAGGCGTGTCTTAAAAATTAAAAAAGAATACTTAAATATTAAAAAAATTCAGTAAAAATAAAATAAATAAGAAAAAAGAAAAATAATTTTTTTTGGAAAATAAATTCTGAAATTATTATTTTATTTATTTTTTATTTTTTTAAGATTGAAGAAAATGTTGAAGTTTGGGCGAGAATTTAATAAGACACCGTGTGAAAGTTACCGAAAGCGGGACTCTTTTGAAGATCTGTCGATTGATAATTAGGAGAGCAGAATTGGTATGAGAAAGGCGGCAAAACGATGAATTCATTGACCCACAACTCATTCCAAGACTTTGAAAACTCCGATTCATCTTCTTCCTCTCTCGATCGATCTCTTTGATTTCTCTTCTACTTCTCTGTTTTGATTCTATTTATTAATAGTCAAAAGTTGTTGTTTTTTTTTTTTTTTTTTTTTTTTTTTTTTTGAGTCTTATTTGCTTCATTCACGCTTTGGGTTTCTTTCCTCTTCGTCTTCTTCTCCAGACCCCGATCAATTACTGATCCAAGTTAGATTATTTGTGTAGGTTGTAGTGAATTCTTGGTTTTTGATTGATTTGGTGAGTACCCACTTAGAGATTTGTGTAGGAGATTCTTTTCTTTTGATTGTTGTTTGACTTTTTGATTGATTTGGAGGTGACCCAGTTCAAGATTTGAGTGGATTCTTTTGAATTTGAGAAAACGCATTTCAAGATTTGGTGTCTGAAATTGCTGTCAGAGATTCTACTTTCTGTCTCTCTTCTGTGTGTATGCTTGGTGTTATTATTCATTTTTTTATCATTTTTTTTTTGTTCTAGAGATCATCATTCACTTATTTGTTTTTTTGGGTGCTATTGATTGATTGAGTTTCCTTTTCCCCCTCTTTTTTCCCCATCCCTTCTAGGCTTCCAATTAGTTGCTTTAATTGGTGTTTTCTGCTTTTGATCCAAGTTAAACTCAGAGATTGTTTTTTCATTTCTAAATTCAATTTTCCCGTGTACACAAAAGAGAGGGATTTGGATTACTTATTGATCATTTCAAAGAAACAATTCTTTTTAAGTCAGTGTGTTCTTCTTAACAAACTCTAATTTGAAGTGTTGGAAGTTGATTGTTTTGGAGGAGATCCAAGTGAAAGGTCCCTGGTGTTTGGATACTGAGAATCTGTGTGAAATTGGATGATGTCTGGAGTACAAGATCAGTTAGAGATCAAGTTCCGGTTGATCGACGGGTCGGATATTGGCCCCAAAAGCTTTCCTGCTGCTACAAGTGTTGCAAACTTGAAGGAAAGCATTCTTGCTCTATGGCCTAAAGGTAGGTTGGGTCTTTTTGATAATATCATTTTGCAAGGAATGCTGTACTATACTTTAATGTTTTTTAGTTATGAAATTATGCAAGAACACAAAGTTTGAGATTGTAATCTGTCCAAAGGATGGACTTCAACTTCAGATGGGGTTCCATGAATTCTGTTGCAGTCGAATTATTTGAAGCAAGGTTAGAAGTTCTTAATGAAAACGAAATGTTTCACCAAGGCACCATCTTCAATGATGTGGTATGTGCAATTTAAGAATGATGGGTCATTTAGTTTTTAGTTGAAATGGAAAATAGATGAGCTATGCATTTTAAATTGGGTTTTTTGATAATGCAATGCTCAAACATTTTAAAGTCTCTTAAGGAATAGAAAATTTTCATTGGTACTCACCTTGCAGTGAAGGCACTAGAGAAAGGCTACGTGTCAATGTTTTTTATTATAGGATAATGACTATCACGCATAAAATAATTGCGCTCATTCATTTGTTTGATAGGGCACTTGTTTTCCATGCATTGTGTGTGCAGCAGTTGCTAGTAATATGATTGGTTAAACACATTTTGATGCTATCAGGAACAAAATGAAATCATTTGTAAGATACGAGAGTAATTTCAATTTCAGGAGATGCAAAGTATGCCTTAACTAGTTAACAGCAATTGGTATACATTGAGAGAGTCTTAGGATCAAATGTAGGTGAGGACAAGTGTTGGTATATCTTATGGAAGATTTTGGTGAAGATTGTCGATAAGATTTTGTAAGAATGATGTTGACTTTTCCCTGACTAGTGTTATGTTCTTATTTGTCATTCTTTAGGTCAATTTACTCCTCTACCTTTCTCTTTTTGAAGCGAATGTGTTTCCTGAAATCTTATTGTGTGGGCTGTCAAACCACTGGTTGGACCTTGAAATGGCTTCTTTACACATGTTTGTTCTGGATGCCAACAAAACGAAAAAACAAAGTACAGAACCCCATGTTGTCAGAAAACCTTCTTTTAGGACAGCCCTTCTCCACCAATCACACTCAAAGTCCTCACAAATTTAAAACAACCAACCCCATCCTTAATTATATATATATATATATATATGTATTACATTTGGTGAATAAGGGGAGTTGAAATACTGAAGTTGTAACTAATAATTATCATGTTGCATCAAGATTGAAACTTTTGTTGGTTTCATTCGTCTTTTTCACTATGATTCAATTTGGAAAGAGATGACCTCATTTTCTAATATTCTAACTTGAAAGTGAAGGAAATAACAGGAACTCAGTAATTTGACTAAACTGGATATTGCATTAATTGACCAGATTAATGAAAAGTGATTCTGAAACATTAAATTCAAGTTTTTTTCACTTTTTCTTTTTCCTTTTCTTTCTTTGAGTAAATTTGAACTTCCAATACTATATTCATGTCTGTGGTTTAAATCAATATGATTATTGTTCTGTTTTTTCATTTCTCATCATATTTTCCAAAAAATCGTTTCTTTCAGAGAAAGAGAATGGTCCAAGGACGGTAAAAGATGTCAAGTTAATTAGTGCTGGAAAGATACTGGATAACAACATGACAGTGGGAGACTGCAGAAGCCCATTATGTGATATTCCTGGGGGAGTTACAATCATGCATGTTGTAGTTCAACCACCACCTTTAGAAAAAGGTATGTTTCTCTGAGATATCCCAGGACCGATATTCACACTTCAATGTAGGAAATGTCTAAAATATCTCCTAATTTCTTTTTTTGGTATATTGGAGGCCGTATCCTTGGGGAGGGGAAGCCTTGCCTGTGGCAAAAATTGAATGCTTGATTTCCTAGTAAGGTGCAATGATTCTGGCCAATTGAACTAGCTGCAGTTGGTCGAAATATGTCCCTTTTTCTTTTTTTCATTTTGGGTGTTCGATATTTTTCCATAAGCTCAAATTCTGAACCTTGCCCTTGGAAACCAAGGAGTAGTTTATAACCATTTGAGCTAAACTCAAGTTCCTGAAATTTGTCTAATTCCCACATCCCTTTAGTTGAACCAAATGAAATTGTTGAGAGAATTTATCGGTGCTTGTTAGGGTATGAAACATGACTGCTGATTCTTTTGTGCTTTCTTGAACAAAAATTCTTATGCAACTGAGCTTTCCCTTTCTATCTACCAATCTTTTTCAACTTTGATGCTTCAATCTCTGAAGTTTCTTGTCAAATTTCATTTTCATCTTTCTTATTGAACAGAAAAGAAAGCATCAAATGAACAAAAGCCGAACAAGTGTGTATGTGTTATACAATAAATTGCTGTTCGAAGGCTGGAAAAGCATCATTTTCATGTTGGTATGTACGTTACTATTCCACTGATTGCTAGTATCATTATTGGCAAAATTGATCTTCTGTTCTTTATACCCTGCAGACAAAGAGTTCGGAGTTGGCATTGATATTCAAATCACTGAATTGCCGATCAATGAGGGGCAGTTGGTGAGATGCACATTTATCATAAACCATGTTTTGAAGCAGGTTCATGTGTTTATATACCTATAGCTTTCACATCAGTTTGGTGTGTTTTGTTTGTTGTGTAGTTCACCACACTTCCTTACATCTGCATTTAAAACTTTGAGATTTTTCAGCTGAAAACTTGTGATCTATTCTAAATAATATGATTTATAGTTGCATAATCCACTGTAACAATTTTTATTTTAGGCAATATATTTAGTGACCCACAATGATATCAGATGACTATGTTCTGCGGTGGAGTATTGAGATGATTGTTTTGTGTTTTTACTAGCGAACTGGGTTATCTTGTTAATGTTTCTAGTTGTTCATTTACTTTAAACTAATTTTATATTAACTTGTAATTTTATCAAATGTTGTGGTGTTATTTATGAATGTATCCTAGTTTGTTGCGGTATTGTGATGATTTCTTGACCGGGCTTGAACGCAGACACCATGAGCAGAGTTTGACGCCTCTGAAACCACTGAGACAATCTTTCAGCTCATTTAACCCTTTAGTTGACTTGATAAATTCATCATCCGAATATAGTCTTAATGTTCACATCTTGGCATTTTAATTCGTCAGACTTGAGTCTCAAACCTTGAGTGGTTTCTTGAAAGCTCACGAATTCCATGTCCAGGATATTGGGGTTGTTGACATGGGTTTGCTTTGGTTCTTTTGTATATTATTGAAACCAATAATGGTTTCCTAAAAGGGCACATGCCATATGCAGAGTTGGCTTACGCCTTGTTGAACATTCCATTAACTCGATTTAATGATGTTAACCAAATTGGAGTTTAACATGCTTGCTATGGCATATTTCTAGCTCATTCTGAACTGTCTAAAAACATCTATTTTGATGAATTGGGTTATATTTTGTTTGGATCTTGGAGTTGGTAAGTAAAAGAAAAGGAAAATCCATGTTTTCCCAACTTCTAAAAATATGTAAATTTAAGCACTTCTAATGAAATGATAAGAAATCGAGGAAATACAGAAAAGAAATGATAAAATTTCTTGTGTATTTTCAATATATATATATATATATATTTTCATGATATCCAAATAAGGAACCATGGTTTTTCTTTTCTTTTCTTTTCTTTTCTGATAAATTCATGACTAAAACAGCATAAAAGAAGTTAATTTTTCAAGTTAAGAAAGTATGAATGCAAGACATCAAAATTGACAACTTAACTTGGAGGTTTGCATAGTAGATCTCCTTTTAAGTAATGCAGCAGGATCCTCCACGACAACTACCAGATTAATCTAACGTAAAATATGTCAAAACGATTACTAATAACATTTGATTTTTGATTTTTTTAACCCATGTGGAATGAGGCTATGTTTGGCATGGGTTTTTTTTTGGCTATTTAAGTTAGAAAAAAATTAAAAAAACTAAAAAGTAAATATTACATTTAAATCATAATCAATTTCATTTTTTCTTTTACAAAAGTTAAAAAAATTAAAAAATTCATTCCAAACGAAACTTTTTACCCACAGTTAAAAATAGACAAAAAAATCAAGAAGTTAACTCACACCCCAGACAAAGGTTGAATAGTGTTGATTTCAAATTATTTTAAGAAAAAGACTATAGTAGACATCTCTAATTGCAAACCTTAATTTGGCTTTACTACACTTTTATAGTTTTTTTTTACTCAAATTTATACTTCAAACACAACCTAAGAATCTACAATATTGAACTTAGCTAAAAACTGAGATCGTGAAGTATGGATTTGAGTAGAAATTTAAAAAGAGTAATCAAATCTCTATTCGAATTTATGTTCCAAACATAATATAAGAATCTCAAAAGATAAATTTAGCTAGAAAATAAAGTCGTGTTTGAAATATGAATTTGAAAAGAAAGTTGGAAGTGTAATCAAATCGCTATCCAAATCCATACTCTAAACACAACTTAAGAATTTCAAAGATTGAATTTAGATGGAAATTAAGACCATGTTTGGATCATGAAATTGGATAAGGATTTGAAAAGGGAAAAGAAAAAATTGGGTAAAATATAATTAGTATAATTTATTTACATTTTACTTACTTTTTTTATTTTTGTTTTTGTTTTCTTTTTCAAAACACTAACCCAAACCTATCATCCACATACAACATAAGAAAAAAAATCATTTCACCATTAAGAAAAAGAGGAAGACACCACGCAATACTTATGGAGTAATTTATTGTAAGTTAAAAATTAACGATCGGAAAGTAAAAATTAAAAATATTTATTTTTCAATTTCTAAATAATTAATTTTTTAGACTTATTTAAACTATTTTCAACTAATGAACAAACTATAAACATAAATTATACTAAATAGTCCGCCACAAAATCACAATTTATTTAATTTGCACCAAGCACCCTAGTAATGGCCTATTTTGTCAACTATAAAAAGTTAATTTATTAATTTATTGGCTTATTTAAATCACATTTATTTTTTTTACAAACCAAAAAAGCTAATGAACTAACTTTTTTCCTAATTCTCAAAACAAGCCAATATTCAATTTGCACCGAATAATGGTACTATTTGGTGCAGTTTATTATAAACTAAAAATTGATAATCAGAAAGCATAAATCAAAAGCACATTGTCCTCAGCTTCTAAATAATCAATTTTTCTCAGCTCATTTAAAATATTTCTACCTAAAAAACTATAAATAAAAAGTATATCAAACAGTTTGACACAAATTTCTAAATTAAAATAAACTATAATTATTCCTATAATCTACACCAAACACTCTCAATATCTTGCAACACCACACCATATATATGATACGACCACCATCATCGTATCCAAAACCTCATTACGTGTATAAACACAGTGCACTACGCTCACACCACCACCACCACCAATCTGCGTGCTTAAACACTCAGGAGTGTAACGCGACCTAGGATGGGCTGGACCCGTTTAGGTCTGGACCCGAGCAAATCCATTCCAAGCCCTTAGGTTTGGGTCTGGGCCATCATTTTAAAGTTCGATCCAATCCATGGCCTAGTCTATCGACCTGCTTAAGGCTTATTCAAGGCTCCCCTCATTACGTGTATAAACATAGTGCACTACGCTCACACCACCACCACCACCAATCTGCGTGCTTGAACACTCAGGAGTGTAATGCGACCTGGGATGGGCTGGACCCGTTTAGGTCTGGACCCGAGCAAATCCATTCCGAGCCCTTAGGTTTGGGTCTGGGCCATCATTTTAAAGTCCGATCCAATCCATGGCCTAGTCTATCGACCTGCTTAAGGCTTATTCAAGGCTCCTCCGAAACCCGACTCGTCCCAAGGCCCAATATTTTTTGTGAAAAATAATAAAATTTGGATAAAAAAATATATAAAAAAAATGATTATGCCCGTACAAGCTCGAGACCCATTCCATCGGTCCGCCAAAAAATCCGAATATCCATAAGTCCGTGCCTAAAATTTTTTAATTCGTAATCCGATCCAAACCAATCCAAATTTTAACGAAATCCAACAAAACCCGACGTGGGCCAAATTTAACCCCCGCCCTGTAACAACTACACAACATTCACGACTACTAATTCCACTTTATAAAATTCCCACTCAAAACATTCCTCTAATTTTTCCTGTTCAAAATGGCTACGACGACGAACCTCCGTCTTCCTCCGCCCTCCAACAACAGGGCCGCCTTGCTATCTCAACCACCGCTCTCCCTCAGCTCTTCTTCGGCCAAATCCGTACCTCTCAAAACCCTAACTTCCTTGAGATTTTACAAGACTGATGTGTCTCTCACTACAACACTCCAGCTGTTCGGTACCACGTCGAGCTCGTTTCTTGTTCGATGCCACGCTTCAAGCGCTGGAAGGGTAAATCAATCATGACCCCCCTATATATATATATATATAACTGTTTTTTGTTTTTGTTTTTTTTAATTTATTATTTTTATAACTTCGAGAGGATTAGGTATGAATGGCTTCTTGTGAGAATTGCCAATTGCCATATGAGTTGCTGATTCTCCAGCTGCCTTTCAACAATCTAAAATTTTCTACTTCTTCAGCGATCATAGTGAATTTTGACCGAATTTTAAAAAATTTGTGTATCAGTTTCCACCCAATTTGAAAAATACTATTGAAATTGTTCTTTCTAATTCTACGTTGTGTTTGAGTTAGCCAATCAATAACCCAGTTCATTTTGAAGATGCAGCCTCAAGATGTGTTTGGGAAACAATCAGTGAGTTTGAAAGGATGATGTTAGTCAGTTTAGCTCCATTCTTTCATGGATATAAATAAAGGGAAGTTGTGCATGATTTGGAATTTTGACTGATATTTTAGGTTTATTAAACTTGGGTTGGATGTGTTGACAGATTACTCAACAAGAGTTCACTGATATGGCTTGGCAAAGTATTGTTTCTTCACCAGAAGTGGCAAAAGATAACAAGCATCAAATAGTCGAGACTGAACATTTAATGAAGGCCCTTCTGGAGCAGAAGAATGGTCTTGCTCGCCGTATTTTCTCCAAGGTTGGGGTAGACAATACCCGTCTTTTAGAAGCCACTGACAAGTTCATCCAACGCCAACCCAAGGTAATACCTAAATTCTATGTATTTCACTCAAGACATTTTTCTTCTTGTGATATTTGCATGCAATACCTAAGTACCCGGGGGGCTGCAATGTGCATATTATGGAATTTGCATCCATTCTTACAATCATCTGCTAGGAAGCACGGATACGGGATACGGGATACGGATACGATACGATACGGATACGGCGATACGGAAAAATTTGAAAAATTAGGATACTGGTACGGCCGGGATACATTCGTAAAAATATTATTTTTACAATTTTTAGTAATGCAGTATGCATAAAAATAAAACCTATAACAAAAGACAACTTAATAAAGAAGAAAGATTCCTATAAAACTAAGAGTCTTCAAGGTCAATAGTGAATATCACAGGACCTTAGCTAAAGCCAAAGCCAAAAAACCATTATTAAATAAAAATTTCAGCAAATATATTTTTGTAAGTCATCAATGATAACCTAGGAAGCACGGATACGAATATGGCGATACGTCAAAATTTGAAAAAGTATGATATAGGTACGGCGAGAATACGTTCGGAAAAAAAAAAATATATTTTTATAATTTTAATAATGTAATATGCATGAAAATAAAACTTAAAGTAAATTAATAAATAAAGGGAGAGATTCCTATTAACCTAAAAGTCTTCAAATATTCATAAAACATCCAAAACTAAAAACAAAAGCAAATGCAAATTAAACATCATCCTTACATGCCAACACCAGAAAAAGAATGAGAGCAAATACAAGAAACGTGAGAGAGTGAGAAAGCGAGAGAGAAGTGAGAGAGACAACAAGACTACATCAATTTAACAAATTCTATTACTTTAACTCTTACAATATTCCTCTTATGAAAGAGTTAAACAAAATATTATAAGTAATATGTAATTTCGAGTATCCGATACTTCAAAATTAAGTATCCGATACTTCAAAATTAATAAAAAATTAATTAAGAAGTATCCGATACTTTTAAGAAGTATCCGATACGTATCCAAGGAGTATCGGTATCCGATAAGTATCCGATACGGATACGTCTCCCTTTTTGAAGTATCCGTGCTTCATAGATCATCTGGTATAAATTACACTGTCTAGTGGGTCAGTTAATTGGACCTCAAATCTAATTTATCTGTTAATACAATAAAAATCATCTGGATTGGTTGCACATTCTATTAGATTTAATGAATTTGACTGATATTTTATTTATCAGTAAATATCGTGGTCCGTCCAACCGATCTATGTTAATTCCTTATTATTTTATGTATTCAATCACACCAGGTTCTCGGTGAGTCAGCTGGTTCAATGTTAGGACGGAATTTGGAAGCCCTGATACAACTAGCCAGGGACTACAAAAAAGAGTACGGTGATTCATTTGTGTCTGTTGAGCATTTGGTGCTTGCTTTTACGCAAGACAATCGATTTGGAAAGCAATTGTTTAAAGATTTCCAAATTTCCCTTAACACCTTGAAAAATGCCATAGAGGCCATAAGGGGACGTCAAACAGTCATTGACCAAGGTGATAACAATGTTCTTTCTTAGCTATGGTTGATAATCTAATTTTGTGTTAACCGGATGTTGTGTTATAAGATGGCTTTTGTATATCTACCAACTTGTGTTATTTTCATGTTTAGTTCCTTTCCATTTAATGGACCATTTGTTTTAATTTGGCTGTTCCAAAATTGTGGTGCACTATCAGTTGACTGCTTTGCACAAGGACGATTCCCTTTAGCATCACGCATATATTTTTCTTGCTGCTACGCATCTCTATTACTTTTTGGTGGTCCAGAATTGTGGCTGCAGGTTATTTCCTATAGTTAGTGGGTAACTCTAGGTTTTCTTTTGGTTGAACATTGTAACCTTTGAAGTTGGGCTAGAATGTTGAACCCCTTTTTGAGCATTTAGCATGCATGCATGTAACCCTTGTATCTACCCTCCGGTTCCTTTGTAAATGATTCCATGTTTTAATAATTTGGACCTTCTGTTTTGAACTTTGCTTTGATGCACCTTTGCATCTTCACTGGTTTCTTGTACTTAGAGAAGGATTATGTTTTCCTTAGTTCGATTGTTGTCAATCTTCTTTTCATGTCTAAGATATGATGCTCTTATTAAGATGCTTTATGAAATGACAGGACACTTCACTTGGTTCTCTAGCAAGTTTATGTTATTAATATCACATTGGTGCACTAATTCATTGGATTTTCTTCGTAGAACTAATAGGACATTCTTTTCGTAACTGTTTATTATATTGTGTATTAAGGAATTTTCAATTTATAATTTTGGTACAGATCCTGAAGGGAAGTATGAAGCACTGGAGAAATATGGAAAGGATTTGACTGCTATGGCAAGAGAAGGAAAGCTCGATCCTGTTATAGGAAGAGATGACGAAATACGCAGATGTATCCAGATTCTCTCGCGGAGAACAAAGAACAATCCTGTGCTAATTGGTGAGCCAGGTGTTGGGAAAACTGCAATTTCTGAAGGGTAAAGTTCTGCTTTAGTGAGGCACAGAAATATTGTTGTATATGAGACAATGTTCTGGTGTTCTTCTGCACTTATGACTTTTAACTTCCAGTTCCTGGCTTAGTTTGATTAAGTTTTTGTTACCCTAAGCTCAGTCTGCTTGCTGCACAGCTACCAATTTTTTAATATGGGAATGAGTGAGTACAGTAATTCGAATATGACCTGAGTCTGAGCAGTGGGTTCTTAACCTGCAGGCTGGACTGTGTTATTCCATTTATGAGTACAGCATCAACAGATCTTGTTTAAAATTTAAATAAATAAAAGTTTTTTCCCCCCCTTTAAAAAATCTAGTCTTATAACTTATTGCAGGGTCTTGTTATTGTTGTTGGGTTCTTTTTTTTTTTCATTTTTTTTTGGTGGGAAGGGAGGGGAGGGGGGGTAGCTTTTTTAAAGGCTTGTGAGGCTAATTTCTGCTTAGGTTGGTGGTATCCTTCTTTCACATGGCTATTTATCTCACATACCTCTTTGACAGGCTTGCCCAAAGAATTGTGCAAGGGGATGTGCCTGAAGCTTTAATGAACCGAAGGGTGAGTAGCTAATCTAGAATTCTACCGTCAAGTTCTCTGGAGAATATATGGTTTTATCTTTTACTTTTACTCTTCTCATTTGGTCTTTTTTTTTTTTTTTTTTGGGGGGGGGGGGGGGGAGTGTTATCATGATATGGCTGTAATAACCTATCCGATAATCTAGATATTGAGATAATCCACTTTTTGTTTCCAGTTGATATCCCTCGACATGGGTGCACTCATTGCTGGGGCAAAATATCGTGGGGAATTTGAAGATCGGCTGAAGGCTGTGCTGAAGGAAGTAAAAGATTCAGATGGGCTAATTATTCTTTTCATTGATGAAATTCACACAGTTGTTGGGGCAGGTACTTGCTTGGTAGCCTGTTTCTTTCTGAAAGTTGGGGGGGCATTGATGGTAATTGTTCTGTTGTATCTGTGATAACTTATCCGTGCCTGTGTTCTTGGAGCTGTTCTTACAATTTCTGTATAAACAACTACCCCTGGTTCAAATCAAATGAAAATCTAGTATTTTATTTTCTATATTGTATGTAAAAATTGGCGTCTGGACATGGTTGATGTCCCATATTTTGGGATGAGGTTTCTTCTATTATTCGTTAGATGAAAGTAAAATACCCTCGAGTTTTGTTCAGGTGCAACTAACGGTGCAATGGATGCTAGCAATCTATTGAAGCCCATGCTTGGTCGTGGAGAGTTGAGATGTATTGGTGCAACAACATTGGATGAATATCGTAAATATATTGAAAAGGATCCAGCCTTGGAACGCCGTTTCCAGCAAGTTTATGTTGATCAACCTTCAGTGGAAGATACGATCTCTATACTTCGTGGACTGCGCGAAAGATATGAGCTACATCATGGCGTTCGTATTTCTGACAGTGCTCTTGTTGCAGCAGCAATCCTCTCAGATCGTTATATCAGTGGACGTTTTTTACCTGACAAAGGTAATACACAACATACTAACTGCCTAATACATAGTAATATAGGGATTTCTTTTAGCTGAAAATTTCTTGATGTGACTTGCATTTATGCATGCCGGGCCAGTGAAGACATAATACACTGATGCTATGTTTTTATTCTTCTGAGGAAAAACTATTAAGATTATGCTAATATGTGTATTGTTACAGCATATTAAGCGTTAACACTCACATCCATTCCAACTGCAGCTATTGACCTAGTTGATGAAGCAGCTGCTAAACTGAAAATGGAAATCACTTCAAAACCTATTGCCCTTGATGAGATAAATCGTGCAGTGGTGAAGCTGGAGATGGAGAGGCTTTCTCTTATGAACGATACAGACAAACCTTCAAAAGATAGGTTGCATCGCATTGAGGCAGAGCTTGCTGTCTTAAAAGAGAAGCAAGCACAGCTAAATGAGCAGTGGGAACATGAAAAAGCTGTCATGACACGCATACAGTCAATCAAAGAAGAGGTATGCTGTTCTTTTCTTGTCACTATCAGTTTTCGTCTTCAGTATATATATTGAGTTCAAAGAGTGTGATTGCCCTCTTACACTGTGGAGTGAGAGAACGTAAGAAAGCAATGTGATATAGGGATATGGGTAAGAAATTTTTTTCCCTTTGTATTTTAATAGGCAATCTCAGTATTATAAAAAATACACAACCAATCAGTTTGTTTCTCACCAAATCTCACTACTTTTGGTGAGAAATGAAACCTATAAAATAAGAGAGTTCTCTTTCTCTCCATTTCTCATTATTTCTCACCTAACTTATAACCCGAACCTGAGAAAAGAGTTCCCTTTCTCTTCATTTCTTATCATATCTCATCAAATCACACGATCCAAATGGATTCTTATTTTGGGATTGCAATTTAATTTGAAATAACTATGCTGAGTTCTGAGTTAAATCTGCTGGACATTGCCTGATGATAACCAGACCAGTGGAACTTGGAAAAAATCATTAAAGTTCAAAACTGAAGCAAGAAAACTCTAGGAAGCACTGTCCAGAAATTAACTGGTGTGTATTTGTTCAGATTGACAGGGTAAATCTTGGGATACAACAGGCTGAGCGGGAATATGATCTTAATCGTGCCGCTGAACTCAAATATGGGAGCTTGAACTCTTTGCAGCGTCAACTCAAAGCTGCAGAAAAGGAATTGGATGAGTATATTAAATCTGGGAAGTCCATGCTCAGGGAAGAAGTCACTGAGAATGATATTGCTGAAATTGTCAGTAAATGGACGGGCATTCCTTGTTTCGAAGCTACAACAATCGGAGAGGGAAAAGCTGTTACATTTGGAGGAAGAGCTGCATAAACGTGTCGTGGGCCAAGATCCTGCTGTGAGGTCCATTGCCGAGGCTATCCAGCGATCTCGAGCAGGCCTTTCCGATCCTCACCGTCCTATTGCTAGTTTTATGTTCATGGGTCCTACAGGTGTTGGGAAGACAGAACTAGCAAAGGCACTAGCTGCCCACTTGTTCAACACCGAAGAAGCTCTTGTACGAATCGATATGAGTGAGTACATGGAAAAACATGCTGTTTCAAGATTGATAGGTGCCCCACCTGGTTATGTAGGGTACAAGGAAGGTGGACAATTGACGGAGACAGTTCGCCGGAGGCCATATTCGGTTATCTTATTTGACGAGATAGAAAAAGCCCATTCCGATGTGTTTAATGTGTTGCTTCAAATTCTGGATGACGGAAGAGTTACTGACTCACGAGGTCGTACTGTTAGTTTCACCAACACTGTCATCATTATGACTTCCAACGGGGGCTCTCAATACATACTTAACACAGATGATGACACCGTGCCAAAGGACTATGAGACCATCAAGAAGAGGGTAATGGATGTGGCTAGATCGATTTTCCGTCCCGAGTTCATGAACCGAGTTGATGAGTACATAGTTTTCCAGCCTCTGGATCGTGAGCAGATAAACACTATCGTCAGGTTACAGGTAGGTTTCTCCACATTGATGACTTGATTGCGACAATTGTCTACCGTACTAATTTTGTAGTTATCTCTAGCTTTTCAAGTGGAAATGTACAATGCTAGGATTATTTCCATTATACTTTAGGACCTACAATGGTGTGGTACACAATATAATTTCGTTCCAAATGGTATCCCATCCCCGGTGTAGTTGGAGATGAAAGAATTTTAGGGCTGCAGCTGGGATCAGTCAACTTGAGATCTGCGGGTGTCAATTCAACCAAGGGTTGTATGGGTATTTTCCTTTATTGGATGGTTGAGTGAATGAGGGAGCCTCTAAATTCGCCCCAAAAATGTTATTTGGGTATTTCATTCTCAAATTTAAATTTTGTTGATTTTTTGGAACACCCAAATTAATTCCTACTTCACCACCCACCCAACCTGCTGGTAGCACCTCTGCCACCCCCTCTGCTTCTAGGTTGTCTTTTTTGGAAATTTGATTTAGGGGGTACAAGAATTTTGAAAAAAAATATGATAAGTGGGGGTGTCCATTGTCCAACAACATTTTTGGGATGCATTTAGAGGCTCCTGATGAATGAACACACTTTCTTTTAGATTTTAGTTTGCATAGAATTTTGGGTAGACTAACCCCCTCCAATATATTGCATAGATGTTTTAACGCATAGAGTGAAAAAATATATATGTATATACTATATCAAGATTGACAATATGTTTCACAACCTTCTAGAAATGCCTGCTTTACCCTAGTTCTCATCCTGAAGTGGTTCTGAAGCAAAATTAGTTTTGAAGTTCTTTATATGTTCTTCCTTTAATCTGACATTGAACTTGGTTTGTGTATGCCAGTTGGAACGAGTGCAACAGAGGATAGCTGATAAAAGAGTTCCCTTTCTGTAACTGACTCTGCTGTTCAACTCCTCGGAAATCTTGGGTACGACCCCAACTATGGTGCTAGGCCGGTGAAGCGGGTTATCCAACAGTATGTTGAAACCAAACTTGCAAAGGGCATCCTAAGAGGAGAGTACAAGGATGAGGACTCCGTGTTAATAGACACAGAAGTTTCGGCATTTTCCAATGGCCAGCTTCCCCAGCAGAAGTTGGTGTTCAGGAAATTGGAACCTGATTCAGATAATTCGGCCACAGAAAAACCGAGAAGCATTTTCACAGACCCTGTGAATAGAGTGTTGTATAATGGATTTTGTCTCACTACGGGTTTTACATAGCCACGAGCTAAGGCACCTAGTTTTGTACTGAATTTTGTATGTAAATTTTTTGTACAGCAGCCTGTTGCTTCGGTTGAAACTGGGTGTCCGAGCGTCTGGGAAGAGAGGATAACAGTCTTCATTTCCACACTTAGAAGTACGTACGACGGGAAAATATTATCGGGTCGTAAATGAAAAATAAAATATGATTACAGAAAATAAGTTTATTTAGATAGAACCATTACAAATTTACCACTCTCGGGCTGCTGCCACCACCACCATTACTCCTCAATCACTACCACCAAAACCACCACCTCCACCTTTTCACTGTTGCTGCTGCCATTAATATCACTTTTAATACATCAAAGAAAATAAAGAAAATTACTTTTTATGAAAATTATATAGGTAAATTATACACTTTTTGAGATTTATTTAAATTACAAATTATCTTCTGTAATTTTAGAAATTACATTATACTTTTTAAGATTTTTAATTTCATAATAAATAGGTCATTTTTATTAATAAATCAAGTAAATTAATAATTTTTAATAATGTTAAAATTTTATTTTAATTAATAATTCAGATTATTTTATTATTGTATAGGTAAACAGTTATAAATTTTATTTTTTTAATTAATTTTGTTAAATAAAAAATTCTAACAAAGAAATATTTGTAATTTTTTAAATTATAAGGAACAAATTCGTATTTTAAGCAAACTTTAGAAGTGTATTTGTAATGTATCCAAATTATTTTTAAGAAAATAAATTTGTATGTGATATCTTTAATCTTTTTTTATCTTTCATTATTATAAAACAATTTCGCAGGAAAGAACATATCAAAAATTGAGACAACGCACGTAGGAACTAATCGTGCATTCTCACAAACAAGATGTCCATGTATCAGACATCTTGACACTGTGTTTGATTGAAGGATTTGGAAAGAGAAAGAGAAAGGATAGGTGAAATAAGAATAAAATATACTTATATTTTACTTAATTTCACACACTTTTCTCTTTTTATTTCTAAATCTCATTAAATTTTCCAACCAAATACAACATAAATGGAGCGAAGTTTGTAAAGAACAATGATTTGTCACAAACAAGATGTATCGGCAAATGTATTCAAATCCTAGTCAGACATTCGAGTTTAAAAACGTATACAATGCCATAAAAATGTACAACACAGAATACACTAATGATGATTCTCTAGGCGAAGGAAGATGGTTAAGAACATGGTTAGCCCAAGCTGAAGATTGGGAAGCAACACAATTGTAGAAGTCTTGGTTCCATATGCGGCAGATGTTTTTGGGTCCACTGAAAAGAAGTGGAATAAACACAGCCTGTTACATGTCCAGCTTACCCTTGTCTATAAAAGATTCAGCACCAGATAACAAATTCATATTTGCAGTGATCTGAAAGCCTGTCCAATAAAAGAAGAACATGTGTTTTGTCAGGCAGTTCAATCCCGACAAAAAGCAGTTGAAGATATGGGAAACAGTGTTTAACACCACAAAATGAGAAGCATGGCCAGACCAGCATAGGGAGGTCTTGACCGTTGCTCAAAATAAAATTGAGGAAAGACGGGCAAAGTTGACTAACCAATTTTTGGAAAAAAAATAAAAATAATAATATCAAGGTAATATTTATCCACTACGCTGAATCTTAGAAGCAAAATGAGTCAAGTAGCATACAAAGTAGCTCAAGCTCTATTCACAAAAAGCTCGTCTATAGTTTGTGGAAATATTCAAGCCTATAATGAGCTGAAGATTTGAGCTTCTTTAACAGTTGAAATGATCTTGAGCAAGAGAGCGTTCAGCTTGGTGAAGCTTGAGACTTGGTAGTAAATTTGAAATTTTGTATTATTATGAAATAAAGGAACAACAAAACTTCGAGAGATTATAGGTGATGATGGGTGCAGGTACAGATTCACTTCTCTTGCGTGGACATCGTCCATTCCCCCATCAGCAATTTAATCGTAGTCAATCCTCTAGACATGGTACTTCTAGTATACCTACTGATACTGAAACTGAAGATGAAATATTTAATACGTCTTTGTTCAGAAAAAATAGTCAAATCAACCTTGGTCAATCTTTCCATAGTAAAATGAAAGAAGTTGACAGCTCCACAACTTCTCAAACTAATAAACCTGTTTATTCAACTCACACACATCTTCCTGAAGATGACACTGAGTCTCAAGATTCTCCTACTCAAACTGATTCCGAAGTTATACCTCCCATCAATCCTCAATCAATGACAATTAGTAAACCCTTTGCTTCTGATCTTGATAAATTGCATATTGAATTTAAATCTAAAGCTAATAAGACTCGACGTCATGCTTATAGTGTCAAATATGATTCTGCTCAACAATTTAAAATTACTCGAAAATGGTATAATTTTATGATTGAATATAGTATTGAAATTCTTTTCTTTGAATATTTAGAAAATTATTACAAAAAAGTGAATACAATTACAAAACATAAATGGAAAACTTCTCCTAATACTTCTGTTAGTTCTAGTCATCCTCCTTTATCTAATACAATTATTGAACACCAAGGATCTGACGTCCCTGCCTCTCCTTTTAAGTTGCCTGACACTGATCCTGAAATCAAAAAAGTTATTGAACAAAATAATTATACTAATCAATGTCTAAAAACAATTGGTAAACAATTAGATAAAATATAAACCAATTTAGACGATTATTCGGCTCATAATACATCTACTAAACATCTTTAGACCAACCATTGCTTAATTTACCCAGTAATTGTTCTAAATGTCATAGTTTAGTCACCCGAAATAATTCTACTGTCAAAGGCATTGAACAATTATTTACTAAATTGACTACCTCTGAACATGCTTCTCCATCTAATGAAAAAGGTCTTACTGTATTGAATCAACAACTTACTTTAGATACTGTTCCTAATCAATCTGACAGTGATTCAACTGATACTGAAATTAATCATTTAGCTTAACAATTTCAATCATCTAATCTTAATAAACTTCATTATTCTAAACCTAATCCTACGTCTCTTACTAAGAATTGGTACTCACGACCTACACCTCCTAATCTTCAATATGAAGAAACTAATCTTAATAATCAATTTTCTGTATCGGCTAAAAAATTATACGAATGGAATATTGATGGTCTTAGTAAAGATCAAATACTTCAAAAACTAAATCATTTGTCTATGGTTGCAAATAGTTATCTTAGTAACTACCCTGATTATACTCAACCTTTTTTTTTTTTTTTTGAACATGAAAATGCCAAACAGCTTACAGAACATCATTAGCTAACAGAGCAGAAAGTTCATAAGGGGGATGAGCAACCCAGTCCAAAGGCAGTAAGCCCTTTAGGTGCATAGAGGCAACCCAATGGGCGACACGGTTACATTCTCTGGGGGACCAGCTGAAAATGATATTGTGACGAGCTCGAGCGTGAAGGATGTCCTAGATAATGGCTTGACAGTCCCAAGGAGGATCCAACTCAGACACACTTAGCTCAATAACTGCTTTATTATCGCTTTCAACATGGACTTGAAAGAGATCGAGGGTTGAAGACAAGGCACAGACCAGTCGAACCGCTCGTGCTTCCCCTTGGGTAATCGAAGATGATTGAACAGTAAAGGTAAGACCATCCCGCAGATGTCCTTTCTAGTCCCGAAGAACCACAGCTAAAGAAGTCCTATGATTGTCCGAAGCAAAGCTAGCATCACAATTAAGCTTGAACTGCCCTTGGGGAGGAGGAATCCATCGCAGAGAATTCACTGGTCCCTCAGGTGTGACAGGATGCCTTGGAGAAGGCTGGTTCACGGTGAGGACCTCCTTCCATAGGGGTGTAGCAAGACTCAACGTAAGCAACGGATTTGTAGGTTGGTGGTTGAAGATAAACTCATTTCTAACCTTCCAAATTTGCCAGCAGATAATTGCCACTTTACCCACCAAAAATCTACGATGTTCATTGTTGGGACAAAAACTCATCAGCCTAACAACCCACTCTGCCACCGAACCAAAGGATTGCAGGTCAGCTTTGAACCCCAGGTTACTTCCAAACCACACACCTCTAGTCCAAGGGCATTGAAAGAGTATATGTTCAATAGACTCAACCTTGCTCCCACAGATGGGGCACTCTTGAGAAGATGCACATTTCCTACGGAACAAATTTTCTTTTGAGGCAATCCTGTTACTGCACACTCTCCACTAGAATTGACGGATCTTAGAAGGAATTTTAAGGACCAAATCAGCTTCCACATCTTCTCTAGAATAAGAAAAGAAGAGGAGGCCCTTGTTGTGCTTTTACCAAGATGATCCTCAATAGCCACTTGATAACCACTTCGAACTTCATAGTTACCTTTAGTTGTGAAGTGCTAAATGAGGGAGTCTGCTTGGTTTTCGTGAGAGATGGGAATAGATATGATTTTCAAAAGCTCCTCCTTGGACACTAGAACTCGCAACCTATCAAGATCCCATTCTTTGGTATGTGGCTTAATCACGTCCCGCACCTTTGAAATTTGACAGTGAGGAGCAGGCCTTGAGATTAATTTAAAGTTTGGGTTACTGGGGATCTAATTGTCCTCCCAAAAGTTGATAGAATCGCCATTCCCTACCTGCCAACGAACCCCCTTGATCAGTAAGTCTCGCCCTTGAAGCAAGCTTGACCAAGCCCACGATGCACCCTGACCTTTGACCGCGTGCAAGATATCCGAGTGTGGGTAGTAAACTCCTTTTAAAATTTTAGCACAATATGAGTTTGGGTATTTCAATAAACGCCAAGCTTAACGAGCCAAGAGAGCAATATTAAAGGCCTTGAAATCCCGGAATCCCAATCCTCCCTTTGATTTGGCCAGAGTCATAGAGTCCCAACTAAGCCAATGTATACCTCGATTATCTGGATCACCTCCTCACCAAAATCGGCTCAAATGGGCATTGAGTTGGTTGCAAAATTTCTTTGGGAAGGCAAAACACGCCATTGCATAAGCCGGGATTGCTTGGACAACGGATTTGATAAGAACTTCTCTCCCCGCCTGTGATAAGAGAGTACGCTTCCAACCTTGCATTTTTTGAATCGCCTTTTCCATTAAAAAGCCAAAAGCAGCTGACTTGGATCTCCCCCAAAAGGAAGGAACCCCCAAATATTTCGATTCCTTGCTAGTCAATGAAACGCCCATGGATGTGCAGATGTCGTTTTGGACTGACATAGGGGTGTTAGCAGAGAAAATGATGCTGGATTTGTCAAAACTAACAAGCTGACCAGAGGCAC